GGCACAGTGCACGGTTTCACGTCCATATTGAAAGCTTGCGCGACGTTTCAAGGTCTTGATGTGGTCGAGACGGCTAGAAGGTCCATGGGTGGACACGGATACTCGGCCGCTTCCGGTCTCACAGATCTGGAACGCAATCAGCCCACTGCCGGCTTGACGTACGAAGGAGATAATCACATGCTCCTCTGTGGCCCAGCTGCAAATTTCCTCGTCAAGACGTTGGACAGTGACAAGAGACCAGTTCGACGCGAGTTGCACTTCCTCTTCCACGAGCCACGATTCGATGTGACGAAGCCGCACGAGTGGTTGGATGAAGAGAGACAATTGAATCTGCTGGGAAGCAGAGCTGCTAAACTTGTGCGAGATCTGTCGGCGCTGAGAAGAGAAGCAAAGGATGCAGCAACATTGGCGTATCTAGAGTCGGCCCTATCTGCGCGGGCTTCGAGGGCAGCAGGTAGCTACCTAATCCTCTACGCCTTCGACGCCCGCCTTTCGCTACTTCGCTCCGCCTCGGCAGAAAGCATCGTCGGCATCAAACCTGCCGCCGAGCTGCTGCGCGCTTTGGAAGACTTGCGCTCTTTTTACGTGCTGGAAGCTTGCGTGCTCAGGGACGTGGGAGACTTTGTAGAGAGTGGATTGCTGCGAGCTGAACAAGTTTCTTGGGCCAGACAAACCGCTGCGCATCTCGCGCTTAGGCTGAGAAAGCAAGCCATCGGTCTCGCAGAAGCTGTGAGGAATTTTTCTCAGAGGGAGACGCTGTTCGGATAGATCGCTTGCTGATCATTCCCAACGCTTTGTCTCCATTCTGACCTCAGGCGGACATGGACGATTGGTACTTGGGCTCGCCACTTGGTCACTCTGATGGCCGAGCATATGAGCGCATGATAGATTGGATGCGCTTAGAGCCTCTGAACCAGCAAGGGCTTAGCGGAGGGAGAGGTGAGAATGCGCCCCGCGTCACTGTGCCACGTGGTGATCCCAGCATGGCACTCAGATCTCATTCCTTCCTGTCTATGGCAGATGAAGACGGAGTACTGAAAGGTTTCCGACAGGCAATGGGAAGGCTCACACATGGAGAGGCTCAGCACCTCAATGGAGAGGCTGCGGCGAGGGATTCTAGGCTATGAATGGCTGAATGGACCAACCAACATGCCTGTGACCTCTAAACGTCGCTTGGATCTGGTTCCATGGCTGCGCTAGCTGAACCCACAGAAAATTGAGATGCGCTTGAGCGCTGGCTGTTTCGTGGCCCATGATGATCCCACATTGACGAAGCAGCGAAGGATTCGGTAAAGTATTCCCTCCAAAAGATTCTAGTGCCTGGCATTCTGACCCTGGCCCTGCATCTGAGCCTCGTGTTTGGCTTTCTGATAGTCCCTGGCCCTTGCAGTGACGTACGATGTGAGGTCATCATACTTGCGCTTGCCTGAGAAAAGAGGTTTGGCGGATCAAAAGCAGGGCTAAGTGGATGAGACGCGAGGCAAGACGAAGACGGGGTCCGCTCTAAAACGCACCCGTGTAATCTTCGATGTATTTGGAATCGGCATACAGCTTGAGTGTGGGATATCCCTCAATGTTTTGCTCATTGCACAAATCTGCACGTGGCGTTGAATAGGCTGGATGTGAGCTACGACCGGCGTGTCGAGATACAGCCTACATGCCGCCAATCTGCGAAGCAAGCGATCACGAAACATACCATACGTGCCGCACCGATGGCGAGACCGTCGTTGCGGTAGCGCGTGGGGCAGCTTTGCACGCCCATTGCAACATCACCAGCCGCACATCTTTCGTTCGCCTCCTCGGCCTGTGTCCAACGAGATCACTCACCACCGAACGTCAAGCAGTTGACTCTGCTCATATGGAAGTCGGCAGTGAGAGCGAGATGTTCCTGAACCTCCACAACATCCTGCCAGACGGGAGCAAAGTGCCTACAGTGAGGGCAGCTAGGCGAGTAGAATTCCACCAACCACATTCCTTTGGATGTTGAAGTGCTGAAGTCTGAAGGTGTCAAGGCGGGCAATTTGGCGTTGATGTCGCCGAAACCGACTGGAGCTGGCGATGGAATGCAGCTGACCAGTTGGAGGAGCAGAGAGCAGAGAAGCACACTAATCTGCGCCCATCTTGTGCAAAGCTCTGCCAATCGCATTATGGAACGAATATGCTGCGAATGAGCTGAGGTGGACGTGGTGGACGCGAAGGGCTAAGAGGACTGCGCGACGGTGTTCCGAGTTGCGAGGGCAAGTCGTGAATGGTGAGTTGCTGGCTCGGCTCAAATACTCTTGCAGGAACGCGTACCCAACAAGGGACGAGGTGTGGATGATGTTTGGCGAGCGTGAGGATGATGTTGGTGATGTGGTCGCGCATGCGACCGCCACCGCCCTTGGGTGGAGTTCTCTTGGCATGCATGCTTGTTTGTCGACACCTCTCACACTCAAACTCAAACTCGTGACTCGTGACCAAAGTTTTGGCGTGCAGCCTCATCGGTCCGGGGGCTTCGCATTCAGAATTGTGATTTGAGCCAGCGTACATAGCCATGCATCTCGTACACCCATTCATGCATGCATGCAGCATACCGTGATCATGCAGGACAGCATATGCGACACCCGCGTCCATGGATCGCGAAAGTTGGCACAAGCGGGTCACGTGATGCCTTCTGTTGCTTGCCCCGAAGAGCTCATCGGAATACGCGGAATCACACGAGCGCAAAAGCCCGCTTCAACTCAACTCGCCAGCTTCGACAGACGTCTGCATGCCTAATTGTGTGTTTCGCGATGCATCGCCTGGATGGGAAACTTATGAATCGATCTTGTGCTGCTCAATTGCAGGCAACGAGGCCAGCTGCCGTTCACTCATACTCGTGAATGCAACCACGGTGATGAGCGTGCGTCACCCCATGCAGAAAGTGGCTTGATCCCCGCAGCTCCCGTTTCAATTAACCTTCTGTGCCACCGCGCGTTATTCAAGACTGCTACATAGCACTTTTGACTTCGACTCCGGAGAAGGCACATGCAGCACTCGATCGAGACTTCTGCCTCACGAAGCTGCCCCCTGCACACTCG